CTTTATTTAAATTCTTTGTTAAAAATGATCCAATAGGACACTAGCCACTCATGACTGGCATCTTTTTACTTATTTCCTATGCTAAAAATGGTTGTTGCATCTTTTGCTCTGTGCCATAGAATTTAATCAATTGAAGGTCTGTGTGCAGGAAATTCTGGAAGCTAGGGCAAAATCAAAACTCCATATCTGGACTTTTAGAACACCAGAAGAAGCATCATCTCACTGGAAAGACCTATTTGGAGACTTGGATGATATGGCGTGATCAGAATATTCAACTAACATGTTTCTTTTTAGGTTCAATTACTCCAAATAAATTAAAATCCAGAGAAACAGTGAAGGAAGTAGGGGGATTTTCTTTGAATTTCTTTCTTCTCTCTGTTTTATAGCTCTTGAAATTTGCAATTTATATATAATCTCTGCCCATGTTGTGATATTAGAGATGGACATCAACCAAATGCAATCCAATTATAAGTTTAATACCAAGAAGCAAGAACATTTCCACCAATTATGCATCCCTCAGTAAATCAAAAAGCATATATGTACAGTATTTTTACCAGTGTCTCAAGTTGATATGTTTATACTTTTTAGTTATATATAAAAAGTATATGCCTCATTTATGCATCTCTGTGAATGTACCAATTTAACAAGAGCAGTTGGAACACCATGGTTGGCTGCTTTATAGATTCCTCCTAACCCTATAAAAGGTTACTATACTTAGTACACACACACACACACACACATAATATATTTCTGTATATACATCAAACAGTGTAAATATATATATATATATATTTAATTCTTATTAAAAGTAGCTACTCATTTTTATAATCTTATTCTACACGATTAAGAAAGCAAGCCAAGAGGCATATAATCACTACCAACATTCTCTTCTCTTAACTTTAACTTTAGTTGTTGTCATGTCACCTGATGACATGCAAATCAAGCTATTAATGATAGTTTAATTCTTCCTTAATTTTTTAAAGAAGAACTCCCTAACTATCTCTTTTATCGGATTATATGAATTTCTATGATTTTTTATAAAAATACGAATTTGCATTGTGAATTATATACTGTGTACGTCTTAAAAGTTATATTATTAAAAATTTCGTTGTTTGGTATATTGTTACGATATAGTTTTAGAGAAATTATGTATTTCGAAGTTCGAAAAGGATTTCTTAATAAGTATATCGAATACAAAAATGGAAACTCAAAAGAATTAATGGGGGGAAAGAGAGTAAACCCTCAAATTTTAGATTGTATAATACTAATGTGTGTATATTATATATATATATATATATTATAGTAGAAAAGAAAAGAGAAGACCCTCAAATATAAGCAATGCATATATTCTGTTTGTAAAAGTGAAAGAAAGAAAGCAAAAGAGTTAATGGGGGAGAATTCTCTCACTCTCACTCTCACTCTCACTCTCACTCTCACTCTCTGCTCCACCTTAAAAAGCCCTTGTGGCTGCTTGAACTTAATATCTGGATTGGACTGTAAATTTCACATTATAATTTCTTCTTCAACATCCTAAAAAATGTCTCCACAACAGTTCCTCACATCTCTTCTTCTTCACCTCTTACTCTCTTCCACTCTCACCGGTAACTTCTACTCTTCTTTCTTCTCAGTTACCTACTCAATATATACATACATATATATATATATATATCTACACACACACACAGACATATATATTCCATACACATTCAGAATACCTGTATTTGTCTTTTGATTAGTGGTAGTGAATTCTTGTATCAACTTTCATATATGGGGATTAAATAAATTTCTATCTAGTCAAAAACAAAACATTCACCATAGAATCAGAGAAGTTCTGAATAAAAATTCTGAAGTACCTTAAGTCTAGCTTATAGAATGATGTTTGCTTATTATTATTTAGTATTCTGGAATCAACTTTTATGAATTCACGAATGAAATTTTCAAAACTTTGATTTTAATTATGATTTGTGATTATAATGTGTAACCCCTTTCGGTTGCAGGGGGAATACAACTCATCCTCGTAAACAATTGCGAAGAGAGCATATGGCCCGGGATACTTGGTGGAGCCGGCCAACCAACTCCAAAAGACGGCGGCTTCCATCTCAGCAGTGCAGAAGAAATAGTCCTCGACGTTCCCGAAAAATGGTCGGGAAGAATCTGGGCCAGACAAGGCTGTTCTTTCAACAACAACGGCAGAGGATCCTGCGACACCGGCGACTGTTCCGGCCAACTTCACTGCCGAGGAACCGGCGGTACTCCGCCGGCAACCGTAGTGGAAATGACTCTAGGATCATCTTCTTCTGCAATTCAATACTATGACGTTTCACTTGTCGATGGATTCAACTTGCCGGTGTCCATGAAACCCGTCGGCGGCGGGATTGGGTGCGGGCTGGCGGCGTGTGAAGTGGATTTAAACGTTTGTTGTCCGTCGGCGTTGGAAGTGAAGAAGAAAGGGAAGATTGTAGGGTGTAAGAGCGCATGTTTAGCAATGCAATCAGCAAAGTATTGTTGCACTGGGGAGTATGGGAATCCGAAAACTTGTAAACCAACTTTGTTTGCTCATCTGTTTAAAGCGATTTGCCCGAAGGCTTATAGTTATGCGTTTGATGATTCTAGTAGTTTGAATAAGTGTAGAGCTTCAAGGTATGTTATCACTTTCTGTCCTCCAAAGTGACTGACATATACGTCTGAAAACATATATATATACACATATATATATGTATTTGAAGTTTACTTCAAATGGGTTTACTTCAGAATTGGTTTCTTTCTTTTAGGAGTACTTGTATGATCTCAGTGGTCTTTTTTCAAGACTGTTAAATGATATAATCCCACATCAATACTGAATCTATACTTGGTTTATATAAACTACACAGACTGCAACTTTCATATATATATATATACACACACACATATGTATATATATGCATTTGAACTTCACTTCAAGTTTCTTTTCTCTTCTCTGACACAGAAATTTTTGGATTATGTCTCTTAGAGATCACCAATTCTAATATATTTTTATTCTGTTTAAGTAAAATTGTAATTTTATCATATAAGTATTTAGCTATATGATAATCTATAGCTTTATATGGCACATATAATATATAGATTTTCCATAATATAATAATACATTCCAACAAGCAATGTAAATATATTTTAAAAAGTAATTATGTCTATTTCTGGTGTAGTCCTGCATGTAAAACAATGAGCGAGTTATAACTCTTTGGTGACTCCGATTACAATGCAGACTTGACAGACACATCCTGTTTGGATATATATTTACATATTATACACACACATGTATGTATATATATATATATATGTATAGAAACAAGGTACCAAGATCAAGAAGGAAATTCCCGAAAGGGAATCATGAGTTGGGTCATGGAGGAAGATTCCCTTCCACTAATCAAAAAAATGTAATGAGAAATGAAGGGAAGCCATTGAAGTATATAAATAGTTATATGTATACGTGGATTATAATTATAATTAAGCAAGTGTAACGAAGATGGAGATGGAAGAGGCGCCAACTTATGCAGCATCTATGGCAGTTCCAAATGTTCAAGAAATGGTAAGAAGAGACCCTCTTCATGTTCCCCATAGATATATAAGAAGCGAAGAAGAAAGACCGAAACTTTCTCAACCATCTCATCTTTCTTCTCAAATTCCTGTCATCGACCTATCTCTGCTCGCGATCGGAGATAACGAAGAGCTTAGTAAACTTGATTTGGCTTCACAGTCTTGGGGCTTTTTTCAGGTATTCAATCTTTTTCGTGATAAATAATTTATACATTTAGGTAAGAAAATAATATGCGGAATTAATTTTTATTTATCCGAGACTCGATAGAATTGTAAGTATTTAAGTATAGACTTAGGTTTAATTTCTTTAAAGACGGATCAAGTTTGACGGTATTAATAGTTTGAGAGTGATAAGTATAGTGAATAATGTAATCCACACAGATATTGTATTTTTTCTATCTGTAAGAAATATCTAAGTCATTCAATTCTAAAAAGAAAAAAAAAATTAAATATGAGATTTAGTATGCGTACTTGAAAAAGTTTATCTAACTATCTAATAGTGAGAATTTATTGCAACAAATAAATTTTTTGTTCGTTTTTACCAAAACGAGCTTTGGACCTTTTAGAACACCATGGATTTCACTTTTATAAGACAGATTAATGCCAAGATTAGACATAAAACTTGTAATATATTCCCCTAGTTGTTCTGTATAAACTTGCCAGTAGTTGCATTGTCAGGGTGACCTCTAGCAAATCATTTACGTTGAGCTTAAACTAGTTTGTTAGAGCTTTCTATCCAGCCCAAAAATGTCTATAAAGGTCTCTTAAGCTGGCTCGAGGGTTTAGTTTCTTATAGGCTTCATGGAATCATGAAGTTGATAATTCAATTAATTTGGTAAATTCATGCAGGTGGTGAATCATGGAATAGCAGAAGATTTACTAAATAACATGAAGAAGTTTTCAGTTGAGTTTTTTCAACTCTCGATTGAAGATAAGGAAAAGTATTCAATGCCCTCTGAGGATATACAAGGATATGGACATGCTTATGTTGTTTCAAATGGACAAGTACTAGATTGGTCAGATGCACTCATTTTAGTCGTCCATCCAACTCATTATCGCAAGATTCAATTTTGGCCAGCCAAACCAGATGGATTCAAGTAATTAACTTGTTAGTTATTGATTACTTTTAATCATATAATAGTCAATTTAACATGTTTACATGCATACACGCAGAGAAATTATTGAGTCATACTCCAATGGAATAAGGAAAGTAGCTCAACAACTATTAGTTTCATTCTCGTTGATAATGGGAGTGAAGGAAGATGTTATCCTTGGAATGCATAAACAATTAGTACAAGCTTTACGTATCAACTACTATCCTGCTTGTTCCATGCCAGATCAAGTGTTGGGGATAAGTCCTCACTCTGATACTAGCACCATATCCATACTCATGCAAGATGAAGATGTAACTGGTTTGCAGATTCGACATGATGGAAGTTGGGTTTCAGTTAACCCAATTCCAAATGCTCTAGTCGTCAACATTGGCGATGTGATTGAGGTATATATTTATATAGATCCACGTATATAATTAATGATCTTGATTAGATTAATGGTTAAAAACTTTGCCAATGGTTTCATATCGATGATCATTTGCCACAGATATGGAGTAATGGCAAATACAAAAGTGTCGAACACAGAGCTGTTACGAATGAGAAGATTACAAGAATATCTTATGCATCCTTTTTGTTCCCGCATGATGATGTCGATATTGAACCATTGGATCACATGATAAATTCGCAACGACCCATTAAGATTTACAAGAGAGTCAAATATGGAGAATACTTAAGGAGTTCAATGAAAAGAAAGTTGGAGGGAAAAGTAAACATTGAGATGACAAAATATTGAGTTATATATTTATTAGTATAGTCTATATTATTGTTGGATAGTTTGTGTTCAACGTAAGGATTTCATTTATAATAGAAATCTATTTGAAATAAAGTTCCGAACAGAGAGATGGCAGAATACATATAGAAAATCGACATATATGCGGTTTAGAATTGTTTTTAAATTCTATGTTTAAAGTTTATTTTTGGTTAGAATTCGAATTATGTTTTTTGAGTAGGACTCTAATTTAATTCTGTATTTAAATACCACTTCAAATCAATCAATAAAAGATAGTTCATTCCTCCCAAAAATTTCTGAAGTTTAAGAGAAACAAGAAAATAGAGAACTC